ATGTTGCAACTAATTTTAGCTTATGTTGCAACATTTTGTAAATTTGAAATCAATTGCTGTACCATCTTTAGTCTGAAGGATTTTATCCACATTCTTCCAAGCTTTGTTATACATTGCCTCCTAACAAGTATCCAATTACCGATGGTTATTGGAGAAAATCAACGAACAGTTCAATGTGAAATTAAATATAAAAATGGAAGGCCGGAATTTCAACTTATGTTTGGTACCTTTTCTGAACATGTAATTAAGTCAAATACATCAGCTACCAAAGCTGCAACAGATTATGGAAAGGTATTAAATTTAAAATTATTATACCGGCAATTATTTTTAATTATCCCATTATTTTTACATAAATTTCTATTCAATAGGTTGTAAATTCAAACAAAAAAAGTCTTTTGTCTAGACCATTACTATTTGGATTGCAACTTCAAAATGCTTAATAAAACTAGAGAATCTCGGATTAGACAGCGTATAATAAAACCTGAAGTGCAATATTCCCAATCAACACTTGATAAACGTGCAGCAACTATTAAGGAGAAATTTACTCAAAATGCTAAATTTGCATCATGAACAAAATTCTTTCATTAAAATCATTGGAATTTATCGTTAATAATCAGAATTATCATTTTGATTTTGGAAATCAAATTTCTATGCAAAAAACAATCGAAATTTTAAATATAATTAAAATAATGATTTAAATCATATTTCCAGAAATGCTTATCGAAATTTGGCTGTAACAAATTATCATTTACCACGTGAATATATTGTTGCTAATGAGTGCAAAAATTTAACACAAAAGATGATTAATGATATTCCAATTAGACTTATCAATATGAATACCTAAGAGAATCTTCATGCAAATAATGAAGGTCTTAATTCATTAAGTATAGGTGGACAACAAAGTTGTAAAGGAATACTCCAATATACAATTCCTTATTTGATACATGAAAAAATATTAACACCTCATGATCCAATTATTCATTTGCGAATATCTAGTGATAGACGAAATGTGGGTCAAAAGGTGATAACATTTATGATTCTTAATGATCAAAAGCGCGCACCATTTCTCAAGACCCCTACACCTGAGCAGATTGGTTAATTTATAAATACGGTGCAGCCCACGCATTATTTCACGCCGTTAGACTTGGTAGAAGCTTCTTCTCCATTGATGTTATGCCTAGTTATTATTATACTATTGCATTATATCCGGGTGTTGAAAAATATGAACATCTTAAATTTTATTAAATCCATTTCTTAATGATCTTAGAGATCTTAAAACAAATGGATTAGAAATTGCAGGTATTCTTTGGCAATTTGAATTTATTTTAGCAGTGACTGGAAATTTCTTGCAATATGCCTTGAAATAAATGCCGCAAATTCCAATTATTTTTGTGCTTGGTGTCTTTGTTCTAAACATGAGATTGGTAATATCACAAAAGATTGGCAAATTACAAAATCAATAGATGATTTAAAAGACAACTATTTTAATATTAATATTTCAGGTCATATCAAAACACCATTATTTGATATGATTCCATTATATAATTATGTATTTGATGAGTTACAGGCATTATTGCGAATTGGAGATCAACTTTGGAAATTAATGTTAGAAAAGATTAAAGAGCGTGATTTGTTTAATAATATTAGCAGACAAATAATTATGGATGAAATGAAACGACTTAATATTAAATTTTATTTTTAGGAAGATTCTGATTCACATAAGTGAAAATATACATCATTAGCTGGTGATGATAAAATTAAAGTATTACAACAATTTCAATTTGAGTGTACTTTTTCGTCCAAGTAAAGCTCAACTAATTCGAACAAATTTATTCTTTTATACAAAGCAACGTGTGATAAAACTGTTGATCCTTTATATTTAAAAAATTTGGCATTTGAGTGGGTTAATTTATTTTTAAAACCCGATATAGGTGAATCAAAAAATTCACAAAATTTTGTTAACGGTCTTTATTTACCAAACCATGTAACACCTATAATAAAGATGGTCCTCATAATTATTTTCAAATTTCAATTGAGTTGCAACTTAATTGCATCATAAGGAAATTTAATTGCACCACAAGTTGCAACTCAATTGTGCCATTTTTTTTTTAATTATGATGCCTATCTTTAACATATATGATATAGGCAGAATTGGGGATTCTGGTGCAGATTTCAAATATACCTCCAAATCCGCCTACGAACCCAGTTTGCTATATGATTTCCAATATCAAATTCAAAGCTCT